GCAAGGAAAGGATTCTAATGTGAGTGTTGCTGGGAGTCGCACGGTAGACGCGAAGGGGGGTCGTATAAAGCAAAAAAAGCAGAAAAGAAATAAAAATTTTTCATTTGTTTTTTTGTTTCACAGTGCGTCATCTTCTCTGAAGCTCTATTTTAATTTTCTCTGCTAATTTTGCACTTACTGTTGCTAGATCTACTGTGCAGATACCAGCCCTTCTTGCATTTCGATTCGTCTTCCTCGCATTCATCGGCCACAAACCTCTTCGAACATTTCGTGGCTTGTTTCAGCTGCTGGTTGAGGATTTTGCGTTCTTTATGATTGCCATGCACTGTTGGTCGACTCAATTCTCTTTGCAATCTTGGAGATAGCCGTGCTAATGCGTTTCCATATGGATTGGAGAACAACGTAGAGTAAGAGGTGGAACTAGCACCTTCGTTCTTGGTGGACTGTATCGGTAACCACTGCACTACCCTCTCTCAGCTTTTATGGTTAACCACTAGTATTCATTACGCAGGATCTGAACATTGTGAAAAATCCATGCTGGTATTTCCTCTACTTCATTTTATTTCCTCAAAACCTGCTTGAAGATTTCCAACTCACAGCGGTGACGTTAGTGAAATTATGAGTTTCCATGACTTGAATGGTTCACATCGGCACTAAGAACAACCAAGTACAATACATTCATTAGGCTAAATCTTCTGAAATCACCCTCGCCTTATATTTCTTGATTTTCCGCTAAGCTTTGAAGTTTAGAAGTAATCGTGTTTTTTTCTTGAGCTCAGTGTATAACTAGCGCACAACGAAACTTCTAAGCGGGCATAATTGTAAACCTTGACCAGCGTGATTAAAAATACAACATACAAGGTAATTTTTGGAAGGAAAAGCTGCTAAATAATGTTTTGAAAGCACTAGGGCATTTCTGCAAAGTGAGCGACTCTTAGCGTGTAATCTTACCTGTTCAAAACTAAGTAAATCGCAGCATGAAGCCATAATTTTATTTCCTAAGAAAAGGCTTCTTCTTCACTGCTCCGACGCGTTTCAATTCATCAGTTTCTAATCACAATCTAACTTCTCAATTGAGTTTTCTGGAAAACTACACAAAACTTTGTGGAATTGAAATTTCTAATTGCATTCCACAATGGGCCAGAGTCCTTTAAAGTGTAGGAAGTTTAATGACCCGTAAAATGGTTGGCTGATTCATTGCACCTACTCTTCCAGATATTACCGCACTCCGCGAATGTGAAGAATACACACTGCGCGCATGTAAGTATTTCGCATGACCAAATGCTGGCATTTGCTAAAAATGGCACGTTGAACCTGGCGAGAAGGTGGGGTGGTGATGATAATGATTATGAAAGGAGATCCAACGTGTTGTTTTGTTCTGCAAATATGCGAATCACGAACAACTCTACTAAACCCTTGCCATAAGCGCTCAAATTTGCGTATATTAATGTATTCCATCTATCGTACGCCTTTCTTGCTTCATTCTCCGCTCTAATTATCACCAGATATGTCGTTATTCAGTCTTTTTCTTCATCTCATTCCAAATAGGAAATGCTGTTTTAAAGGTTCTCTTAAAAAACTGGTATAATATAATGGTTCGAGTGAAGCCAACTGTGAGGGCACTGAGCGCTAACGACTTTCCCACCCTTATTTCCGTCTCTTTTCTCCGTTATGATTCACGTATAGGGTGAAGAAAAAAGGTTTTATTACAAACTTCTACAAAGCATTGCTTTAAGTGCTGTATCTTACTCAATCCCACATGATAAATGATTCGTTTTAGTTTCATGGACACAGCGCATTTCTTCGGCAGATTGCATTATTTATAAAAAAAAATTTTGCGTACTAATTTATCATTTTTGGCATCGCACCGTCTTTTTAGTGCTTGGCATAAGGCATTTACGTGATCTTGTGGAACGAACACGAAATGGAATGTCTCATCGAGATTGTAAGCAAATCGTTGCACCGTAAGCATGTCTGAGGCGATTTTTCAGCACTGACAGTTTCTAAAGTCTTCGCATGGAATAATCACTCTCCATTTACTTTCCGGGTAATTTTCAAACAAGCAGTAAACGAGATCTGAGTTGTACGAAGATACGTCTACTGATTGTGCAGTGACGAGGCAGAGATTGCAACCCGAGGAACTCATCTGTCTACTGCGCCTAGTAGAAGCGCAATCTGTTTTTCAATTATGTCTGAGACTCCTAAAGAATCTTGGAAGCGTTACGACGTCCATTTATCTATTGGCTCTGTCTAACTCTCTTCTCGTCCGTTCCTTCGTCTAGCTCCCTTTCGGCAGTTACTGATTTCTCAAAAAAATGTGCCAGAATCTGTCAAGCCTACTTTTTCTCTGCTTCCGTCTCTCAAGAAACGCAGTTACCTCCACTGAGGAACTTTCTGCGCTACATAACAAGACAATGAAAGGAATAATAACATTAATAAAAACATTTATTAAGTGGATTTAAGGCGTTTACCTATGTCGCTCTGCTCTGTTTTTTAAAGGTGCCGTTTACGGTTCGTTGATTTCTAAATAGGTATGCACTGCATTCATTGCGTTATAAGACGGCTTTGTAGGCTTTGCGTCCAACACAACAAAATGGAATACAAGATTCCAAGATTACCAAGATGTGGTAATCACCATTAACAATTAAGTAAATTCTTTTTCTTTGCCGACACATTTCGGGAAACCGTGATTTGGACTTTTGAAGCAACTCTCTCTCTCTCTCTCAAAACGAGAAGAAATCTTGCCTCACGGCAACAGAACTCCACCTCACCCTCATCATTAACGATCGCTTCTGCCGTCAGCGTACTCCTGCGTCTTTGTGCACGTGCACTCGGCTGTTATTCCGTTCATTTCTAAGTGCAGCAACGTCGTGTGATTGATCTGTCGAAATAAGCAATATAAAGTTTTTGCCAACGAAACGAATTTGAATCGCAAATCGTGACGTGGGAAATTGTGCTTCCAACGGGAATTAACGGGAAGATACAAGCATATAACATCTTGTCGTCATTTTTGTCCCATCATGGTAAATGAATTCAACACAAACGTGAAGCGACACAAATGGACGCTCAGGCGTACATTTTCATCATCTCCCAACAGCCAGCATTCATTAGAAGAATAAAAGATAAAGCGTTCGGTGTTGATAAACCTCTGAAGGATGAACTATACATTCGACTTCGTCAGACATCGTAAAAGGTGAGTGAGTACATATTCGGCGTTTTGGGATTATTTGGGGTGTTCTGCTGATGTAACAAGTCAGTACTGCTATCCTACCAGACCTAGCAGACAGATGTGGTTTCAGTTTACTAGCGTCCGACCGACGGAAGGCACCGTGTGCCCGGGATGAAGTAATGGTCACGTGCGGTGCTACAGGACAATTGTTACCATTGTCGCACAAGCTCGCATTTCATGAATGATAGTTTAAATATTCAATGTATGTGGGTAGAGACCACAAATCTCGCGTGGAATAAGTTACATCTGCCTTAAGAGTATCTGAGTAAACAAACCAATATTGCCACTAAAAGACATCTGAGCTTGACGTTGGTCTTTCTTTCTGGAGACACGAAGCTTGTCTTGTCTTGTCTTTAGCTTGTCTTTATAATGAATGATATAAACACATTAACCTAAAGGTCTCATCTAAAAAGTGAAGTTTACTTTGTTGTTGAATTCCACAGTAAATCAGGCAATGTCGTTTTTTTAGTTCGGGATGGTTCTCATACATTCGATTGTAAATAGATCCCATCGTTCCTCCAATTTTTTCGATACCATGAAGGAAAATGTCAATGTTACTATTATTGTGCTTCTTGTCGAATGTCTAAAAAATTCATGAGTTTCCACATTGCCTCTCGCGCGGTCTGCTTTCGCATGGCTTTGTTCTTCGTAATTCATCTCAATTTCCGCTTCATAGCTCAGTCACCATCACTGACTTACAAATACTTCAATCAAGTCGTTTGTCACTGTGTCTTAAATTTTGTTTACTAATGCTTGAAGTAATAACAGAAATGGAAAAATTGCTGCTAATTAAATCATCTCCGTCTGTTTTTCTACGCGGGAATGTTGTTCCCAATGTTTTATTTCTTTCCTATTGCCTTATTCGACCAGCAAATTGTTTCCGTTGTACATTAAAGCTCACTCACCCTTTCACTCAGGTACAGCTCGCTTAACATCAGCCATTTCCAGCATTGTTGTATATCAAGCGTTTGCGTTGACTAAAACAATCAGCCACTTCCAACTAGTAATTTTTCGTAACAGTGATTTAATGAGCTTGTTTTCTTCATTTTATGTCTCCTCAATTAATTCTTCTGTTTTCGTCGTTCTGGTGAAGCGTCAGAATTTCTTGTCTTCCTCTATGTGAAGATATAATTCAATGAGACAACGTTTTTCCTCAATGTTTATCTTCTAAAAAGCCTGCACCTCGGTTGCAATACATCGAACTTACCTTGGCTCTGTTGAATAACAAAGGATTTGTATTTGCCGATACGTGTTCCTAAATTGGATCCGAAGTAGTCTTTCTACCTTTCTCCGTCTCTCTGCTCGTCTTTCTTCCGGTTTTCCAGAATCTATAGAATTACTGCCTTTAGAGAGCAGTTGAGCCGTACTCAACTTTGGACTCAGCTCAAATGATTATATTAGTCGATTCCATGATTCCATTACGATTAATTTTATTAAAAGAAACGTCATATAATTTCCAGTTTTTCTTTGGCAAAATCTCTGTCAAGAGGTCGATTTGTTGCCGGTGTTCCAAACTTTCTTCTTAACTATAGCATTGCTCTAATATCATGCTCGGTAACCTTAAATTGAATATACTGAGCATAAAATATGAGCGTTGATGATTTCCAGCGCGAAATCTGCTACTATGACAGGAAATTTCTGTGAATATCATAATTTGTGCGATGAATTCGTGAGAATATTAATTTCAATAACGGCTTCTTATTTGAAAACGTTATCAGGAAACTGCAACGTAGTGCTGTAAGCAGTAACAACGGCGAATTATCCGTGTCTGATGACTGCTGAAATGATACGGGACAAGAATGCGTCTTACTATACGCTACAGTCACTAATGTCAGCATTGATTTCAGTTCCTGTCAACAAGTTATTCGTATAGGATTCCTATCAATCGCTTCATATATCATCCGATAATGCTGTTGGCGATTCCAGATCGACGTGGGATCGGCGTGATGATCTGGTTGTCGTCTCTATATGGCTTCTGATGTTGAGTTATGCTTTGATTTCAAATGTCCTAATTCTTGTCGGAATAGTACGAAGTTCGATGATGCGTTCCGCCACCAGGCAAGTGCGCAATACTTTTTGTACATTTCATCCCTCGTGTATTCATACTTTTAGGTGAATTAAAGAGTGCCTGTTTAATTGCCATGTCTTTTCAGTTATTGGTTTATTATTTCGCTCGCTATGTGTGATATTGTCATGACTATTATTTCATTAATTCATCTTGTACCAGCGACGGCATTTCACGACGCATACGTCGAATTTTATTCCCTGAGAAATATTCTCATGATATTTTTCTATGATCTGTTCTGGTATACGGGAGTCGTTCAACTTGGTCTTATGGCTGGTAATCGGTTCGTTTCGTTTGTCGTTTTAATACCTTAATTTTAGTAATTGCTTTAACATGTAAATATTCGTTAGACATCGTTAGACTTTGTACGGGAACGAATCAAAGATCTGTTAGGGGTAAACTGCAAAATAACACTAGCAATAAGGGCCTAAGAGTCTATTTCTCAAATTTTTCTTTCAATATTGTTAATGCAGGTGTTTTAGGTTTGTCTCTATTGTATACCCTATGGAGTACAAGAATATGTTTTCCCGTAAACGGTCGCTGTATCTCATACTGTTCGGTTATCTTCTGGGTTTTTTGGTGTCCCTGCCAACATTGTTCCCTTGCTGTCATACACTATGGAACTCAGACTACTATATTACAGTATACCAACCAATGGACACCTGGTAGGCTGTATCTTGTTTCTGTTACTAATGAAGTCACAAAATTTAAGTTATCAAGAAGGACGTTGTAATCTGCTTAGACCTGTAAAACCTGAAAAAGAAGTGAAAATAGTAGATTATTTTTCACTTCAAGTGACTCGAAATTACATATTGTGCTTATCCGTGCAGTTTTTGCATTCCGTTCTTTTCTTCTCGTGCACCATCTACCCATGAGGTTTTGAGCTTTTGCGTGTATATTCGGCCGCTTCTTGAGGGTTTTTGCTTCCTCCACGAATATCGCTGAATGTTGGTCGAATCCATTCTTGCTCGAACCCATTCTTGTCCAGTGCCAATTTCCTCCTCTGGAGCGATAAGAGAGTCGGTGACCCAGGTACGGGCAGAACAAGAACCTTCCACCCATGCCCGTAATAAACTGCATCACTGTCGCTGCGCTACCCTGTCGTGAAATAATAATGGTAATAGTGATAACAAAAATATTCAGGTACAAATATGTGGATATGAGCGTAAACAGTATATCACTATTTATGATGATATTGTCGTATGCAGTCATCATCTACAAAGTTCGTGAAAGCGGTAGAGCACTGGCAAAATATCAGTTGACTATACGAACACGTGTGAGTGATAGTTTCCTATTTCTTCAATGTAAGCCAAAACTTTCACAAAAATGAAAAGGCATTCTAAGTGCACTTGGCACGCACTCCTGGCGTTTAATCACGAGGATAACTCAGTGACTCGACTTTCCTTTCCATCAAACAAACTAAATTATGTCGAACTACAAATAATTGCCATTTTTGGGAAAAATACGGCATGTTCAATGTGAATAGCCTCAGCCATTGAAAATTGGAGAGACATGCGTTTTTTCCACTATGTCGCTGTGTAGCGTATCGTCTAACGGCCATGCGAAATATTTGCAGTTTAAAAGATGCTTGTTTTTTAAACGAAAAAGGAGAATGTGCTGTATGTACTGTCATGAGATATGCTCAGGAAAACATTCGTATGTTGTAGTACTCACGAAAGCGCAAAGTTGTTCAGGTTGTTTAGCAAATCTGCGAGTGTCTTGAGGCTGCTGAATTCTATAGCCATAACATCAACGACAGTGTATGCATGGCTGCACGGTTGAATACATTTCCTGAAAAGCACGTTAGCGAAATATAGTGTTCCACGAGAAACGACCAACCATTAATAAATGACAAAACAACATTACTTGAATGCTTTAATGGTTCCCCTTCAGGAATGGAGAAGAAAAATGAAACCCAGGAAAAAATCTCAATTCCATGCCAATTTGATGTTTGAACAAAATCCTATTTCCCTGGAATGTCGAAACTCCATGGAATTTTCCCATATCGTCATAGGTTGCTAGCGAGTAAATCAACGGCTGTGATTTACCCTGGATAGGTGTAGAATGAAACTTTTGCCACATAACAAAGGTCGACAAATAGGAACACTTCTTTTTCATCAACGATAAGCAGGCGACATAGCGTAGGAAGAAAACAGTACAAATAGATATGGAATAGCAAAAATTAATAAGAAATGTAAACACGTGGTTGAAGTCAACATCATTAAATCATGTTGGTTTTCAAATGGCACGTGTAAATGCGTAAAGGGTGGACGTTCAACTGATTAGACATACACTCGCCACCTGCTTAGACGTCGTCAGCCCTTAATTTTCAGCAACAACGAGCACTCGTTTCCGGAGTCTCGTTGTCGTATCAGGTGAACGGCTGTACGAGAGTGTCCTCCGTACGACCACCTCGAAGTCAAGTCAGTAAGAAAGAAATGCGACTTTTTATTCAGGTATTCACATTGCTTAACATTTTTCATAACGTACACATGTAGCAAACAACGTAGTAAAACGTAACTGAGTTGCGTAGCACTTACAAAGTTGAATTTTTTATACCCCTAACCTGATAACCTGAGTATTTCAATTACATTGTATTTGAGAGCTGTAATAAAGATCATGAGTTCATGAAACTCCTTTGCAATTCAAAAAAAAATCGCTTTTTTGGGGGCAGACCGTTGTTGCTACACTGTCAATTTTAGTTCTTCGTCGTATCACTGGTTTTTCTGGTTACATGGACAACATGGCAATGGCTTCCACATATGTCCGGCTCAAAATGGGCTTATTTTGTCATGACGTCGTTGTTTTTCATCAACAATTCAGTGATTTTTCCAACAATTCTTTTTTGAATTCGATGCTAATACTAGTTAAATGTAGAAAGAAAAAAATCGTGAAAAGAGCGATCATGTAGACAAAACCTTTAGGTTAACCCTACCGTATATCTTCTTTTCAATACACAACTTCGTAGAGAACTTCATTATCTCCTATGTCGACATCGTGCCATTTCATCCGTTCAAAGCAAGCAACGACGAAGTTTATCCACAAAGAGTGCTGCTGGCAGATCAGCAAACACTAAAGTCAAGGTAAAAGAAAAGTTGGCCAAGATTCCAAAAGTAGTGTTAGAAATACAATGAAGGTCCTCATTGTGTAAAATACGCATAAATCTAAGTGTAATAAAAACATATACAGATTATGGAAGTATTGATACTTACTTTAACACTTGAATCCACCCTACTTACTGGTTGTGCGAGCCTTAGCATAATCTCCACTTTCCGGAAATTTTATGGTTTAGCTGTTGTGTTCCGTTGAAGCCCCGGGATCAGCTAGACCAAAGTCTGCGCCAGGTCTTCACCACCACAGGCAGTCGCAGCCCTCGTGGATCAAATCGAGATTTGCTACTATGCGCCTTTGATACCAGGACGGTGGTGGGACTTAGTATTGGTTTGCTCCTGGCTGGGCTTTCTGGTCAAAACACCGGACTCCTTCTCAGCTTGGGAGAGCCAATGCGGGGTTGAATCCCCCCGCTGTACATCGCAGTCCTACACTCAGAAACATCTCCCAGCCGCGATGAGGCGGTGAACCGTTGGAATGGATTATGAAGGTACAACGTACATTTCGTTAGTGCGTAGAAAATCACACCGAAATATATTATTGATGTATATATTAGTGTATGTATGATTATATAGACTGCAACCACTAGTGAAGACACTCATTCACATTCTTCGCATAATACCTCGGAAGAACATGAAAGATCACATCTTCTTATTGAGGTAGGCATATCATAAGTCGCCTTTTCTAACTAGTCAATAAAAAAAGCGCTAGTCGGCTTTTTCTTATGCTTGTTTCGCCTGAAAGAACTTTGTACGGTTTCAGGAAAATCTTTACGTATGAAATGGCTAAACGATTAGAGCAATATAATGAGTGCTGATGTCTCACAGCTAAAGTTTCGCGTTTAATCGTATTTAATTTTATGATAACCGAAATATTCAGCAAAAACGTAAATGGATGTTTTTTTCAGGAAGAAAGTAGTGTTGCTAGGATTGCAATCAGTGCTCTGTGATTTCTCTTCCACCCATCGGGCCAATTAATGAGGACGACCACGCGCAACCAAGCACGAGGTGGCTGAACATCGCGAGGAGTCGAAGGAACACCGAACTCGACTCGATTCCACATTAAGGTGCTCAACAATCCATCTAGTCGCAAAAGAAACGACACTTTCGTATACTTTCGTAACGATAATTGCTTTTGTGAGCCTAATGCCGTTTAGAGAAATTTAGTTCTCAAACTGTGTGCCTTTTTATGATTGAGTGTAGCGGCCTCAAAAATAGTGCTGTCATCGGACCTGAACTTCGAACTCATTTTTCAAATTGTTTAGCCACAAATTCCTAACGGTATGATGCAACCACGTATAAACGTTTTTCTAGTGTAAGGAACAAGAATTTCACCAGATGTTCAAAGAAAACACATTTTTCTTCTGTAACCTTGTTCTACAGCGAGACAATAGTAATTGAAACGACATTGCAGTTCTAGTGTTTGAGAAAGAGAGAACTTTCCCTTGGAGTGAGCAGCGTGATTAAGGAAAATAAATCTGTGCTCCTCACACTTATTGTTTCTTGTAATCGAAATTCTAGCTGTGTTGTATGAACTTTCTGTGCATTACATATTTTACTGGTACACTAAGTTGAAGTTTTAGCAATATGCTAGAACAAATCAAAATCCATTTATTCAATGCAAGCATTCTCACACTGAGTAAATACAAATGCTTTAGGTAGATTTCCATGTTAGATGGGTTTTCTTAATTCTCATATTTCGCTTTATTCATATACTTTAATGCTTAAATCCGATTCATTACGCTTTCCGGAAATAAAAGATTACTCGAACGTCTATGTGCGTCTACAAGCACGTCTGCTTTTATGCGAATGAATATTTCATAAAGAACATCATTGTGTTCCATTCTCATGGATGTGGTTTAAAAAGAAAATGTTCTATGTGGTTCTGTTCTATTTTCGGATGTGGATGTTCTATTTTTTTTCTACGTTATTTAGTATCGTACTTCGTTCCGTCCAAAATACACATTTTTCGTAGTCTCCTAGCTGCTCTTTATGTTAAACGAACATTCTTTCCACGACCTCAGTAAGATATCCTTGTTGGAATTTCATCTTCTCCCATCTCCACTTTTAAGAGGAAGACTGAAACTTTTTACGCAGCGATATAAAATTTTTTCAGGGCAGGCCCTTTAACAGCATGAAGATGCTTCAAAGCTAGTCACAATCTTCTGCGGCAAAAAGTGTATTGAAAGTTCTCTTACCCACGTTGGGTAGACTATGGTCACTTTGCAAAATACGCCAGATCGAGCCTTATTTACCTCTTTTAAAACTGGCGGAATGTCGAAATAAACGCGCTACACCCAGAGCTCGACATTGGCCGTCAAGTCTAACATCAAATCAGAGCAAACGCGTGCGCAAATGATAGGGTACAAATTTATTCACGCGCTAGGCCTTTAAAGTTATCCATTATATAGGCTAAATTTACATTCAGTGGTGTGGTAGTATAAAAAAACAGACACGGACGTGGCTGCATTTACATCATAAAAGGATTGGTTAACGCCATGAATTCTCTCAATTATGCACGAAGTAATGCTCTTGTGAATATTCAACCAAGTGTTAAATTTTGCTAAAAATAGGGCTTAATTTTCCAATCGTAAGCTTTTCACTCTACCATACCTACCAAACTACCATACCTTTGAAACACAAAGCTGAGTGTCGTAAAAATGGGCGACTAAGAAGTGGATAAAAAACCAGCGGCTCACAGTCTAAGCTACTTAGAGTTGCAAAGGAACGTAGCGTTTCAAATCGACGGTCAAGTGAAGCTTTTTCTGATTAGTAGAGATCGCTGAAAGTTTTAATGATGTTATGTGATCATAAATAAAGTACCTTAAAGAATTTGTAGTTCTTATGCAATTTACCAACAGTGGGAGAAAAAGAACGTCCCCCGATGAAATGCAAGCTTCGTTGCATACTGCACAAAACCACCTGTAACACCTGCATTCCCTTTGATCGTCGAGTGACTCGAGCGGGCGCCAGTAAACCTCCCATTTTTCACTGTCGCGTGCAAGGTGGCCCAGTGTGTTTCGCTCGCTCTAGGGAGTCGTTGAGCATCACATCTTTCTTAAAGGCTTTTCGTAAAGAACTCTGACCATCGGGTCGGTGGTCTTCCTGCCGCGCATTTAACTTCCCAAGTAATCCAGTCACTAACGGCTCTNGGCGATCGGTTGTCGTTCATACGCATTACCTGTCTTTCCTTATCTTGGACAGTTTGGCGTACAGAACGGCATCTTTGAATTTTGATCATTGACGCAGGTCGGAGCTTCAGATCCTTTCCTTTACTTGCGTGACACGGGATACTTCCAGCATCGTCCTTACGATTGCGTTCAATAACGCTGAGTGATTTTTCATCATATCTACGCAACGACCAGGTTTCTGACGCATACGTTAGGGCAGGAAGTACCGTTGAGTCGAAAAGGTGGGCACGGAGTCGGGTGTTCCTTGTTTTCCTCACTACATCCTTGATGCAATTGAAAGCTTCCCAATCTGCTCGTTTCCTTCTGGTCAGCTCTGGAGCTAGGTCGTTCATTATATTGATTTCCCGACCTAAGTAGACATAGCTGGAGCATTCAGAGAAATTCGTTCCGTGGAGCGTGAATGGGGCATGCGAAACCAATCCGTTCTTCTTGAACATTACTTAGTGGAAACCTCATAGGAAGCGGCTCTGAGGAAGGCGAAATCCACCGAAACGTCAGCTTAGTCGTGAACAAAGAATAATAACACCTCGCGTTTGCTCAACAAAAATACGAAGAAAATCACTTCATGAACATCGTTTTTGTAAGACATAATCGAAGACCGATATTTCCACAGGCTTTATCAAAGTCGTTAAGCATACGTTTCCTTTGGCTAATGTTTGGTGTTATAAGGGCGATGTCATCAGCAAAGCGAAGATGGTGTAACTACCGACCATCGATTTTCACTCCCATATTATCCCATTCCAGTGTTCGCTTGACGTGGGTGGTGGTAAATAATTTTGACGAGGTGGTATCGCCTTGCCTAACTCTCCTTTTGACGTCAATGTTAATATCGTTGTAGAATGGTGATATCTTGGTTGTGAAATTTTTGTACAGCTCACGAAGAATCTTTATGTACTGAGCAGTGACTCCTTGACTATCAAGGGCTTCCATGACTGTTTCTATCTCAATTGAGTCAAAGGTCTTCTTTAAATCGGTGAAAGTGAGGCAGAACGATCTTTTGTACTCTCGCGATACTTCAATGAGTCTTGTTATCGTGTCGATGTGGTGTGGTCCATCGTACTAAATCCTTTTCGAAACCCTGCTCGGTCACTTGGCTGTCCTTCATCCTGTGTTCTGTTAATACTCTTTAGGATGACTCAAGTGGAAAGTTCGTAGATGACAGACAGTAAGCAGATTGGGCGATAGTTGCCGATATCGTGTAGGTCACCCTTCTTGAACAATAACACGATCTTGCTGGTCTTCCACTGAGTAGGGGCCTTGCATTCAGACAGGTAACGTATGGGGAGCAGAACCCGTGTGTCTATGAGTACTGGCAGAAGGTTCTTCAGGTGTTCTGGTCTTATTCTGTCCGGACTTTGTGCTGTTCGATTTTTAACCGACGAAATGGCATGTCGGATTTCGGAGGGAAGAACCGGTGGTACAACGTATCAATCCTCTTTTATTTAATATGACGGAAGGTGGATGTGGCTATCGAAGAGATCTGAGTAGTATTTGTGAATGATTCTCTTCATTGCCTTTCTGGACGGTGTATTTGTTCCATCTGGGTGCCGGAATGCAATCATTTTTGTCTTAGAATTGGCGAAGCTTCGGCGGGCTTTTCGAATGCTTTTCCCGACCTCTGCAGCTTCGTCGACCATTATTGCTGCTCTTCTCTCTTTAAGATTTTCTTTTATCGCCTGTCTGCATTGTTTTGCACGTTCGGACGTTAGATCGCGGCTGCCTGCGGCTCGTGCGATTCCAAGCTTTCGTATTAGCTCGAGTGTTTCTGGAGAGAAACGTTGTTGGTGACTTTCGAACTCTCAGCTTTCACAGCGCTGTGATGATGTTGAATGA